GGGAAAAATGAAGGGGGGGTATTGGAGGGGGAGACAAACCGTGAGAGACTATGGACTCTGAGAAACAAACTGAGGGTTCTAGAGGGGAGGGGGTTGGGGGGATGGGTTAGCCTGGTGACGGGTATTAAAGAGGGCATGTTCTGCATGGAGCACTGGGTGTTATACGCAAACAATGGATCATGGAACACTACATCAAAAACTAATGATGTACTATATGGTGACTAACATAACATAATAAAATAAAATGAAAATGAAAAGAAAGTGTGTGAAAGAGGAGGGTAATGTCAGTTTCTTGAAGTCACCTTTCAAATGCAGTGGTGCTGCAGGCTGCAGCCTAAATTTAATAAAAGAAGTCAGTGATAGCTGCCTGGAAGGTCCACGCAGCTTAATCAGCGTATTTCCCCTGGTTCTTCAACTGATTTTTCGAGGTAAAAATGTTCTAAGTTCAGCTTCCTTTTGCATTGTATTGACTCCCAGTGCATGCACAATATGGAATGATAAGCTGCTGTGTCCTTATCAGTAGTGTCATTACTGAAAATAAACATGCCAGCCCAATTGAAAGTGAATATTCTGAATGAAATGCACCTGGGAGGTCCGACCGGAAGCTGGGGCCTCAGAGGGCGTGGGACTCCAGACTGAGCGGCCCTTCCTCACTCCTCCTGCTCTGCTTTAACTTCCGTCCATGGCCTGGCGCTTCCTTCTGGAGCAGGGAGGAAGATCAGTGCCCCTCCACACGAAGAGAACTACCATGCACTCCATCAATCTCCTCTTCCAGTTAAAAATATCTGATTGTGTGAACTCCTCCTTCCAAAAGAGGCCATCCTGACTCCCTCACCATCCTGTCCCAAAGTCTCTGGATGGACTCTAAGGGCACAATAATCCCTGATGGATATGCTATTCCAAGCATCCTCTAAGTGTTCAATGGAATTTCCTTATGAGCGAATATTACTTCTATTGTTTGTAATTTAATTTACATACATTTTATTGTTTGTTTGTTTGTTTTGAGTGGAGAAGATTCAAACATCTTAATCCCATTCCATGTGTCTATTGAGCTTATTCCCTTATAGTTAGAATTTTTATGATTATATGAATAAATTTCACTTTAAATGTTTCAGAAAACATCTTAATATTTTCATTTAAATTTAGCATCCTTAACATTCTTCAAGGTCAAAGAGAAAAGACTTACATGCATTGAACTATTAAGTATTTTCAAAAAGTGGGTCGCCTGGTTGGCTCAGTGAGTAGAACATGTGACTCTAGATCTTGGGGCTGTGAGTTTGAACCCCACGTTGGGCGTGGAGGCTACTTAAAAAAAAAAAAGTAAACCATGAATCTCTACAAAGAGCAGGAGACCTCTGAAAAATTCTGTGCAGTCAAAGCTAGAATGATTTTTGATCTTCCAAATATGTTAGTTAAATGTCTTGGAAATAGATTGACTGGGCTGGATAGAGCTTAAATAAGAAAACTATTTCAGCTAAACTTATGACTATGAGTTAAGCTAAGCAAGAGTTGCAGTTTCAAGTCATTTATTATATCTCTAGGACCTGGCATAGTCATGGTTCCTGGAACCTGGCAGGCATCTGGGGATCAAACTGGGTTCTAGATGCCAGGGTTATACCTTTGAGAGAAGCAAGACAAAATTCCCTACCTTTGTGCAGCTTACCTCTGCACATCCACTTGTAAGTACATATATGGTGGTAATATGTATCAATAAATTAACAAAAACCAAAAATACAGAAATTCATGGTCCCTCCCACATCCCATCCAAAAGAACAAACCTGTGTGATTATGATTCTTGAGGCATGATCATGAAATAAGAATGTTTCATGGTTCATTACCCTTAAGGGATCAAGGATGTGCTATGATTTAATTGGGCAAGAGAAAATATTTCAGCCCTTCAAACAAAATAAATAGGAGAATGGAGATCTCATCTTGGACTTGTCTACTTAACGAAATAGGGTTAGCATACTTGGGCCATTTTTTCTGCTACAATGACAGATAAGTGATACAGCCTTTTAAAATACTCATGTTGTCGCCTCTAAATATTTAGTCATAGGGTTTTCTCCAAAGTCTTCATTTTAAAGAGAAGAAAATTGAGGTCAAAAGATGTTAAATGACTTGGCTGACACAATGCAATAAATAGGATCACAGTGCTGACTCGCGCTCTCCAGACCCCAGAGCCCAGACTCTTTCTAGTCACAACTTCTCCCTGTCTGGACCAAGAGAAGGGGGATGAACAATTATGATGGAAGGCACAGAAGCCCGTTTTCATATGCTTTCCTAACACTCCAGACCCGAAGTCAGCTTGAAAGTGGCAAAAGCTGGAATTCTTACCAAATAAAGCTTGCACTAAAAACGATGAAACTCATGCTCCACACAGCATGTCGTAGGTGAAATGTTCAAAGACAGGCAGAACTGAACAAAACACTGTTTTCATTCACTTCAAGCTGACGATCACCAGTGTCAACAATTTATGAGGTTAGAGATTCCTGGCAAGAGGCGCATGCCATTAAAGGAAAAGAAATTAGCATGTGTGATATTTTACCTTCAATCTACTTTTTTCTTCTTTTTTTTATTAAAGATTTTATTTATTTATTTGTCAGAGAGAGAGAGAGGGGGAACACAAGCGGGGGGAGTGGCAGGCAGAGGGAAAAGCGGACTCCCCGCCGAGCAGGGAGCCCCATGAGACACTCCATCCCAGGACCCTGGGATCATGATCTGAGCCAAAGGCAGACGCTCAACTGACTGAGCCGCCCAGGTGTCCCAGCCGTCTACTTTTTTAATGACAAAATTTGGTCATAATATTCAGTTCGAGTAGAAAATAGCTGATACATCTAAAGGTCCCATGGATATCATAAAGAAATAGAAGAAAACCAGTGTATTTATGATGCAAATACTTCAGGAGTTTTTGTCAAAACTAACCTGCCTTTGACCTAAATAGACAAGACTATTTTCATCTTCATCCAAAATTTTACTCTATCGTCTGTTAAAATTAACTCTTAAAATCTTGGATCTAGGCCCCTGACCAGACACTATCAATCACAAAACATATTGAAGATGTTAAAGTCCTATGACTGATTTACTGACACTTCTACCAGAAGTTCTATGTTTAAAAAGAGTATTGTCCTTCCAAATGTCATCCTGGGTAACACACCCAGTGTAGCCATTGCTCAAAATATGTTTGGAACCAGTCTTTGGGAAATGCCTTCAGAGCCAGCTCACAATCCTGGCAAGAGAATGGCTCAAATTGCTTGAAAGTCGCACCTCATTTGTGCCCAATCGTGATATCACCCAGCTTGGTCACCCACTCATTCATCAGATTTGGCGCTTGTGTGGCTACTTCCAGAAATCAAATTCATCCTTAAAGGAGAAATGTTACTGTTGCTGAAGTAGTTTTCCAAAGACTCGGAGCCAAGTCTTGGGCAGGCTGATCTGTGACACATGCTGGGACAGAACTCGCAGGAAGGGAGGAAATTCGGGGCTGGGCAGAGAGACCTGCGCACCAGGCTCCATGGTGTGGTCAGGAGTGTTCAGCAGGCCCCCAAGACCGGTGGTCCTGGGAGAGCCGAAGGCCCCGTGCCATCCCGCAAATGGTTCGGGCCGTCAGTGGTTTCAGCCTGACCCCTCTGGCCAGGGAGGCCTGGCCTCACAAAAATCTTTCCCTCCAAACATGGGCCACACAGACTGACGGCAACGGCCCTTGGCTTCAGCAGCCTTGGTTTAAATCCCAGCTCAGAAATCTCCTAGCCATGTGAATTGGAGCCGTTAGCTTGCATTATTTTTCATGCTTTTGGATAAAGTCCGTTACTAAATAATAGGTGTAGTTTTAATGAAATAAATTGACATCAAGTCTAAATTTAAATAAATAAATAGATAGATAGATAGATAGATAGATAAATAAATAAATAAATAGACATCAAGTGTATCTTTTATCACGTTTGCCAGTGGAGGATGCAGAGTCTAAAAGTTACACCTGGGCTCGATCCAGCCTTTGCACTCAGTAGCCACTGACCTTAGACAAGCTACTGGAGTTCCATCAGCTCTGTTCT